AGAAAGTACCCTCGAGGAACAAGTGAGTTTCATTGCCAACCCTAGAGGGAACAACCCTTAAAGCAACACCTACAACCCCGGGTGGCGCAATCATCCAAAATTCGCTTGGTCTTCCTCTACCAATCCGAGACCCCCCGGTTTCCAAGGTCCGAAAGGGCAACTATCAACCTCGGCCAACTTTCATCCAACAAAGGCCTCAGTTCCAAAACTCGAACTTCCAACAACAATACCAAGCACAAGGTGGTCAAGGGTTCCAACAACAACAAAAACCCGACAAGTTTGTTAAGCTTGAAGATCTAGTGACCACCTTTGTGAGCACGAGCTCTCAGAATTTCGAGAAGATCGAGCAATTCATGGATGTGGCGACCTCAAAATTTACCTCGATCGAGACAGGAATCCAAAGTCATCAAGCAAGTTATCAGACTTGGAGGTGCAAATTGGCAACCTTGTCGGTAGAGCTAGACATCGGTTACCGATTAGTGGTTAACCGACCGGTTACAACCAAAATTGGCCGGTTATCCACTGACTTAAAACCGAGATAACTGAAAATCGGTCGGTATTCGGAGGGATGGCCGAGATGATTTTGGTCTTGGGGGCAGCTTGGTTAACCGAAAAACCGAAGCCTTAAGGCCTCTTTCGGTCGGTGGTCGATAGATATGGGAGGTGGTTCAGTTTAACCGATAACCGCCTGTTCGGTTTTTGGTTATAACCAAACCGACCGAACTCCATCCCTACTTGTCGGGATCCTCACCGACAGACCAAGGGGAGCTATACCTTCCCAAACCTTTGCAAATCCCAAAGACCAAAATGTCGGGGTGAATGCGATTCAATTGAGAAGCGGGAAGGTGACTCTGGAGGTTGTTGCCAAAGAAGTGATCGAGAAGGAACACTCTCGACCAGAGGATGGAGATGAAGAAATCTCGGGAGAAAAGAAAGGAGTGGTGAAGAAGGAATCGCCAACACCACCTCTAGTGGCTGAGTACACGCCACCATTTCCTTTCCCCACGATAGGGGTGAGCAACCGGTTCGGTAAACCCAAACCGAAACCGAATTAAATTGAATCGAAATCGAATTATTGATATTCGGTTCGGAATTCGGAAGGAAAATATGGATAGTTCGGAAACCAGGGTTCTTTCAACCGAACCGAATTTCCGACCGAAAAATTGAAATACTATAATTGCAAGCTCTAAATGGTGGATTTTTATGTTTGTAGTTGTTTTTAAACTTAAATATTTGAAATGTTTTATGACTTATGTGTTGAAAAGTTTGATTTTATCATTGATGATGCATATAATTGCATATTTATTGTTTATATTAGGGGTGAAAAATAATTTAAAAGTGAGAAGATACAAGTAGCTTCACAAATTCGGTATTGTGTGAAAAACCGAACCGAATTATAATTTGGTTCGAATTTGTTTGAGGTTTGAGAGAATTTGGGGACCCGATATTCATAATTTTGGTTCGGTCGAAACCGAACTGACCGATTGCCCACCCCTACCCCACGAGCGTGCACAAAGAAAGATTGGAGGCAGAATGTGGAGGTTTCATGGAGATGCTCAGAAAACTCCACCTCAACTTCCTTGAAGCAATGACCCACATGCCACGGTATTCAAAATACCTAAAGGGGCTTCTCTCCAAGAAGCCGAAATTCCAAAACCTCGCCAATGTCACTCTAGACCCGCACGAATTTTGCCTTGAGATGCATATCAATGTGACTTCCCATAAGGTCACCCATTCTACCAATGATTTTATTTCACTCCAAAAACAAGTCTTGTTAGTTAATGCCAGTTTCTTACTCATTAACCATGATCTCTCTCGTGCTTTGTCGATGTGGGATTCGCCTAAAGTGTTAACAATTTGACCCGAATTTAAATATTTAAATCGATTTGACAAAGCGAGAAATAAGCCCAGCCAATAGTAAAATCATTAGTCTTTGTAGTTCTCTTTTTTACCCCTTATTTATATAGAGGGAAACTGCAGGCACATAATGTTGGATGTTGTGGTGACCTATGTTTAAGAAATTCTAACGTACCTGTTGATTGGACTGAAAATACCGAATATCATACGCAAATCGATAGACGATTTTAGCGAACTAAATCACAATTTTAGTACAAAATATTACTAGGTGGAGATGTCGCGCCTTGTCGCGGGCGGAGATGACATATGGACATGTATTATGTGGTCCGTTATAGTGTTTTGTTAGTATTATTAGTCTAAAAATAATTTTTTTAGCAGTTTTGTTAGTAATATTGACTGAGAAATATGACGGTCAACATCCTTTTTTTTAAAAAAAATTTGGCTAATAAATGATATTTACCTAAACCCAAATAGACCCATTGATTATGGGGAGGGTATGTATATGTGAGTTTGAAAGTTAGTGGATGTGTTTGCGTAGGTAATCTAAATGTGTATGAGTTGGGTATGAATACCCATTTATTCGAGGGTGTTTTAATTACACATACAAAAATTAGACCTATTTATAGAACATCAAAAGTTTAGGTACCACAAAATATAATACACAAAAATCGTAGGTAGTAAAAGGTAATGTCCCATCAATATTTTGAGGACTATATGCCATAAAAATAAATTTATTAGGTTATAAATCTAAAGATCTATTATGTTTAGGTACTGAACTGTAATTTGCATAGTTGAGGCTTAATTCCTTTTATAGTGATGTATTTAAGATGATAATTTTTTATAAAAAATAGAAACTATTTATCTAATATGTGTAGATACTTAATAATCATTCCATGTATAATTGTTGAAAATTCTAGCCCGGGTGAAAAAGAAAACTCCAGAGAGAAGTCAAACGAATACAAACTGGAACTCCCTTAAAATTTCACGCCTTCAAATCGTGTAGTGGAAATGGCGACTTTGTAATAAGTAATAACCATATATATTTGCTTTTGATTGGACTCGACATTGAACTGAAAAATTTAGTGGTTCATGGTTCAATTATTAATTCTCTAGGCTGTTGGTCAGTCGTGCATGGACTCGTCCATACTTGTGATTAGAATGCATAAAAATAATAGTATACTAATTAGGGTTGGACGACGAAGACAAAGAAAGAAATAAAGAAAGGGTTAAGGAAGGCGAGTGAAAAATGAAAAGAAGAGGAAGTAAATGATTGAAAGGTTTTGACCAATTCTTTTATTTGGTCGTCAATACAATAGCCAACCCTTTTCCTCGTAGCAATTTATTGACACTTGCTTATGTAGATGTCGCATATTTGGTTATGTAGTTAGTAGAAGTTTGTTTAGTACCCCGTAAATGTACTAAATGAGTTTGTAAATTCGCTTTTGCAATATTTTAGAGTCGTCTCTCTTTTATCATTTATCTTATGTTTCACATAATGAGCAAATATAAAATGGTCGAATCTTCTCCTATTCTTGAGTGATTCAATATATTGTATGGTACAAACTAAATTTATACTTTTATGTTATTGTGAATTGAATTCATGGATTGATTCACAATGATTGGTGGATTGGATTCATAAATTCAAGTGAAATCTAAATATTGGACCAATATGTAAATTTAAAAAATTGTAGGTACGAAAATTTCATAAAATTTAGATACCAAAACATAATTTTTCAATGATTTTGCATTAGAATTAAATTTGGGTATCAAAATGTAAAATGTATATTATAGTGACTAAGTTGTAATTTAATTAAATTGGGGTATCAAAATATAAAATATAAGAAAAAATTAGATTTAATATATACAAAGAAGAAGTGAGGTACTAAGTTTGTAATTTAGTGCAATGAGAAGTGGAAGGATATGGGCGACAAACTCATTGGAAATGATAATGGGGCGGGGAAGAAAGAGTAAAAGCTATATGGCAATGGGCTCCCCTCCCCCTCCCCAGCGAACAACTCATTATATTAGTTGATAACATTAACCATACCATGCACCTTTATGATACAAATTCAGTTTGTAATCGTATTTTTTCATAAAAAATTTTTATGATACAAATTGAATATTTATTTAACGTACAATATAATAAAATTCAATTTGTATCCATATATATTTGTACAAATTTCTTCATCCTACAAATTGAACTTATACCTTTATTATGATACAAATCCAACTTGTATCCGAAAACATCTGTGCTTACAAGCATGGAAGATTCATTCATCTTTCGTTCAACCAAAACTGCTCTCCACATCTAAGCTGCCATAATTCAAATCGACATGACCACATCTAAGGTGACATAATTCAAATGGTATCCTAAGTTTAGGACACCAGTAACTGAGATATAAGGCATTTAAAATATATATGGGGATAAGGGAAAATGTACTGAAAATGCACAAAGAAGGTTTATTAATCAAAATGCTAACCATGATGCCAAATCAATTGAGAGCCCGAAGTCTTCATGAACTTAGCTAACTTTTAGATTCAGTGACTCGCAACCAGAATTTACGATAAATTCATGAAAATATTTAACCTCACAACTGAAAGGACTGAATCAAGTCAAGAACACACTTCCCATTTCAAGCCAACTGTCATTATATATATATTATATACACACCAGAGAGCGGACAGCTAATGCGTTCCATTTATTTATTGAACAAGGTTCTATGGTGACGCACACTGAGAGAGCTCTGTAGATACCAATCTTGGGGGTTATGCAATGTTTTTCCTACCATATAATCCTCGCAAAAAAGATCCAAGAAGGATGAGCGAAACCAGCAGCAGTGAAAAACTTTACATCATTTTCATACACGACTAGCTTTCTACTTTAAAGTGATTCACAAGAGGTGTGGTGGTGATTATAGTAGCCTGTACCTCACATATTTGTGGTTGCTCCATGCGCAGCGACAGAGAAAAGCAGGGGCTGGTTTAGTAAGTTTTGATATCTCAGATTCCTCCAAAAGCATAGCTAGCTGATCCCGAAAGAACCAACCTTGAATCCTTTGGATTCATGTCACTTAACCGTTGGCCAAAATCCAAACCCAGCATCAATAGCAGTCAGAAATATTATACACGCTATTGGTGAAGAACTACTCTGTACATTTCAAGCCATTCAAGTACACCTGCGACTGAATAACCGTTCTCCCAACCTTAAACCCAGGGAACACGGTGAACCCCACCTTTGCTCTTGCCTTGGCAGGCAGAGTAAACTTTCTGGTGACATCTTCCATGAACACCATTGAGAAATCAACCCCTCTCTCCACTTGGAAAATCTCAACAATAGGGTCAAATGAAAATGCCAGCTTGTGAAGCGTCCATACCGAACTAGCCATGTTAACAAAAGACTCGTAGAATATGCTTAGCGACCGCCATGAACTCAATACTGCCTCATTCTGGTCCAAGTTGCAGAAGAGTGAGGACTCCATCGCAGGATGTATAAGTTCTTGGTACTTCTTCTCGCAGAACCTTGAGAATTCGCTGGTGGGATTACTACGTAGCAGCTCCATAGCATTGCTAGAAACATGCTGGAGTAGCTGCTTGAGTGAAGCATTCACCCTTTGTGAGTTTGAGCCCTGCCCATTAGACATGCTTTCGGCCTCATTCTGTCCTAAACCGAAACTCTTCAAATCAAAACCCCGAAACATCCCTAAGCATACATACGACAGAAATGCAAACCGATTGTGACCACTCTTTGCATAGTCAATGCAAGAATGAAGTGAATTGGCAGCCAAATCCAAATCCCACTCGGCCTTTCTCATCAAAACAATCAAAATCTTGGTAAATTGATGCGTAGCCCTACGAGCATCGTTCAAAAGAGACTCGAAAACCCGCACAGACATCAACACATCAGCAGAAGAAGAGTTCAAACTCAAGTAGCCAGCTAACCTCCTGGACAACAGGGCGTTGCAGTTGTGCAAACTCCCAAGTTTCTCCCTCGTGGAAGAAACTTCACTGTCCTTTCGATCAATTTCAGCCTGCAAACGGTCCGAAACAGTCCCCAGAACTCTAAGCTTGCTCTGGTTTTCTTGCACCTGAGCTTCCAAACGCGACCCAATCGGCAAAACAGCGGCATGCTCAGAATTGCCACGCAAATCCCTGTAGAATTGCTTCAAATCCGAAAGCCGCTGGAGATGGGAAACAATTGCCTCGTCAGCGCTCTTTATCCCTTGCTCGGTAAAAGGCACGTGAGCAGTCTGCAGCTGGAGATACGAAGCTTCGAAGGAAGAAACCGTGGCGAAGATGGAGGAAACCAGAGTCTGCGCCAGCTGAGAGTCGAGGGGTCGGATCCGTGATTCGGCTGATTGTGGCGGCAAGAGCTGGGCGTCCACCGGGCTCTCGGTGACCGACCGGTCAGGCTTGAGGATGATGACTTTCTGATCGGGGATGAAGTCTTCGGCGGAGTCAAAGAGGGTGAAGCCTTCGTCGTCGGCGGCAGTCTCTTCATCGGCGAAGAACTCAAAGGTCTTAGCCTTGAAAGCGAGGGCGAATTTTTGAAACATGTCGGAGATTTGAGGGGGCTTCTGGTGGGCAGGGTCCGTCGTCGCCGAAGAGGCGCCGCCACCACCGTCAGTCCCTTCCTTCATCACGAATCCAGCAGAATCTTCTTTCTGTAACTGCAGTGAGGAAACGAATTGGAGGAATTGGGGAAGCAAAGCGGGAAGCGATACAAAAAGGTTGGATGGGGAAGGGAAGGGTTCTTTGGCTGCCTTGGAAGGAAGGTATGTGTGGGTAACTGGGTCTGCCTGGCTTGCCGCACTTTTCTCGTGTTTTCATTAATTAAATAAAATAAAAAAGGTTCTTTATTTTTAGGGCAGCGCAACTTGTTTGCCTTTGGCTCACTTCCTCTTTGTGAGCTGTCGTAGTAGGTTAACGGTAATAAGAAAAACGGCCAACCATTGAATTGACCGACAAAATAAAACAATAGTTGATGGATTCCTCTCGTATAATCATTACTGGCTTATAACCCGTCCGTTGACCGGAATATTCATATTTGATTATTTATATTTTATGTTACTTTTAAGTCTATCAATTTATTTCTACCAAACAAAAGTCTATCTATCCATTTGACAATGGTTTGATAAAGATGATACATAAAAAAAAATACATAAGTCATACCATTTAAGAATATAAAATATAAAAATTATCATTGATTCCATTTTCATAAGGATAATTAAGCCCCGTTAAAAGTTATTGGTAGTTGGAATTCCCATACGGCTCATAGATAGTTTGAAACTAAATTTTAAATGTCAAAATCCTACTTAAAAGGTTCAATGCTATATTTTTAGGAACAATATGCCACTAATAAAAAATAAATGGAGAGTTGTTGATTCAAGTCAACTATATACTAACAACTCAGTTAAAAGGGGACCATAAAAAATTTACAGCAAACGAAAAGATTGGGGTTACCTCCAATATACTAATAGACTTGATCAAAATAATAATGTACAAAATTAGACACTCCTTATCTAGCAGTTCTCGTAGGTTGAATAAAGAATCGGCATATTTAAGTAAATCAATCAATGATTCCTCGTTCTAAAATAGAAATAGGTTGTGATAGCTGCAAAAACCATAAACCTAAAGATCCAATAGCCACCACTCTCCATTGTACAACCAAATTTTTATCTCAAGAGACATATGTTTCAACCAAAACTTCAATTCCTTATCCTCTTTCAACAACTCCATTTATTGAACTTCATTTTATTCGCCATGGATTGATATCAGAGTTGAAATCTTCTACTTGCATAGGTTAAATCCCCAACAATAAAATCATAGTGCCAAGAGATACCGTAAGATTGATTTTTGAAGGGGGCCTTGTACTGGGAAGTGAAAGGGGGGCAAACTATTGCACAATGGAGGGAATTTTGTAGAAAGTTAGAAAGAGATAAGAACAAAGATAAAAAAGCGCAAAATTTAAATTGAAAAATACGAGGACACAACATGTAGCAACATAATTAGTTTCTTCCATGTTAGCCAATTACCAATTTACCTTTAGAAAATTAAGGAGAGAGCAGAAATTTTAAAATGGTTAAATACACTTGTATATCCAAAACTTTCACGGTTGTGCCAATAATATCCAAATTTCCCGAAATACCACTTATATCCAATTCCTTCACATTCTTTAAAGGTGTTTTTGGATATACAAGTGTATTTAACCAAAAATATATTGGGAAATGGATAGATTGGGCAAAGAACAACTTTAAAACATGGATATAAGTAGTATTTCGGGAAATTTAGATATTATTGGCACAACCGTGAAAGTTTTGGATATACAAGTGTATTAAACCTTTTAAAATTGATAAAATTACAAGAAAATCTACTATGAAAATTGAAGTATCAAGCACCATAAAAAATACATACGGTAGACTTAGTGGGCTTGCTAATCATGATGGAAAAGTCCTCTGATTTTGAGAGTTTAACTTCGTGTATGTTTTGTATTAAAAAAGAGACAACAAATTTTTTTAATGTAATTGGTTGTGATTGTTGCCTTTGTTTAAAGAGACTTGGGTTCAAATCTTGTTATTGATATTTTTTATATAAGATAAATAATTAATTGTAAAGACAAAAATGTCCTTATTTTCACTCTCATTGCCGAAAATGTATTATTATTAGGTTAATATCACCAGGAATACTAACCTGACATTGCCACTCATATCACGAAAGTTCAATAATTCAAGTAATATTATAATTTGTTAGGGGTCAGTGTCATTTGTGTTAGGCGAATTTTGGTTGACTATTAAAGTTAACAGTTGACCTAATAGTGGTCAACCTTCAATAATTAGACCATTGATGAAGTGGTGCTTACATGTCGCCACGTATGTGCCATGTACCTGTCGCGTAGGGATGATAGTAGGTTGCCGGTTATCCGGTTTAACCGAAAAACTGAGCCGACCCGTCGGTTTTTAACCGAAATCGAAAACCAATTGGAACTTTCGGTGTCGGCGTCGGTTGGCTGTTGGAGGCAAATTTCATAACTGGCAATCGAAGGTTTCTAACCGAGAACCACTCGGTGCACCGCCTATAACCGCCAGCCTCCAATCCCTATCCCTCCCCCTCGCCAATCTCTAATCTCTCCCTCTCCTCTCGCCTCTCGCCGTTCTCTACCCTTTCCCAAATTGGGAATCCCAATCGCTAGCCACCACCATCCTCAATCGCCACTCATCGTCGACCTCTCTACCCTTTCCCAATCGCCAACCACCACCATCCTCAATATCCGCTCTCTACTGATGTTCCTCGGCAGCCATCACCATCCTCAATCGCCACTCACCGTCGACTTCTCCGCCTCAATCGCCCCCGCCTGACTTCGCCCACTCCTTCTTGTCGAAAGAGGTCGCCGGCTCGCTGCTGCGGAAGGAGTCAGCGTAAGCAAATCCACCCACCTCGTTGTCGTCTCCGCTTCACCTTGCATGTTCCTCTATGATCGCCGCCTTACCTTCCTCATCCTCGGCGGTCAACAGCGAGATCCCGACCCACCCTGCCTTCTCCAATCGTCGTCGCCCTGCCGCTGCCACTGCCCTTCCTCCCTCTCCAGTCTCCCCTCCTCTCGACGCTTTCTCTCTCCATCTACCTCGTTTTGCGGGAGACTCAACTTGGGATTTTCTGCCTCTGATGCCTCTCTCTTCTTCTCCCGTCGTTGCTTCAAAATTGGGATTTTCCGGTGACATGCATAGCGATGACAGTGGTCGGAGGTGGTTGGGGTCGGTCTTGGCAAACAGCAACCAAAAACCGAAACCGACGGTGGCGGTTAACCGAGAACCCCTTCGGCGTCGGCTTTGGTTGACAATGTTGGGTGATTTTCGATCTCGGCTAATCGATGGTGCGGTTCTGTTAAAACCGAAACCACACCGCTAACAGCCCTACTGTCGCGTATGAATTTTCTTTTAATAAATATTTTTTTGACAAAAACTATTTGCTCCAAAAATCATTATGCCTCTCCGTATTCCACCTCGCATCATCGCCAACCATTTTGTTGCATCCGAGCCTTCCCCTTGCTACCCTTGCTCATTTCCCCATCCCTTTCTTCCTCTCACAATCGTTGGTCGCCAACAACCCTTCCAGATTGCGGAGCTTTCCATATCATTTGTGAAACTGAATTTAATAGTATTTGATTCAATTTCTATTCATTGCAATTTGGTTCCAGTGTATTGCAAAGCTCCGGGATCTCGTTGTAGTTAAACCTACCAAATCCAAGATCCAAACACCCTTTCAGCTCATCCAGATCGTCATCTGTCAAGCTCTTTGCCCTCCTCAAAACACCATTGGAGGCACTGTTGCTACTTGATCGTCCCTGTGCGGATTATTATTAGTTGTTTGCACAGGCTAAATAACTACTCCATTTCGAACCAAGCTTAATTCGAAACGGTGTTCTTATATAGTGGTGACCCTGGTCGTATTTCACGGGTTTTGATATCCTAGCCTATTTCCCGCTCTATTGTTATCTAACCGATTGGAAGACGATTGGAAGGAATAAAGCGATGAAAAGTGGCAACAGGATAGAACACGGGTCGTCGCACGGTCGTGTTGCTAGATCGTGTTCAGTTAAACGGGGTGTTTGGATGAAACTGCAAATGAAGCATAGCGCGTCGGAGCATGGGTTGAACACGACCGCGTGGGTGAACCATGTTCCATTTAATTGTTCGTTTTAAGAAACCAGTAACGCAACACGGGTCTGAACACGCCCGTAGTCTAAATTTGGGAGGTGTAATCAACCCCGGAGTCTAAATTTGGACCAAAGGGCGAAAAATCAAGTCAAACGGTGGAAACAGCAACAGATCACGATTTGGGTCGTGTGTTCACCGTCACTAAGACCGTGAATTGGAGGCTACCTGTGAATAGTAGGAATCTAGCACAAATAGTTTTTACTAGACACAAGTCAGTTCACGGTTGTAAGCCATTGCTCGTGAATTGAGATTAGCGATGCGACACATTTTGACTTCAGTTCGTGGTCTGGGCTTTCATTTCACGGTCGTGAACTGAGCCCGATCTGGGTATATAAAGGAGGTTGAGCTGAAGGAAAAAGGGGAGAGACCTAGTGTGAGAAACTTCTTCTTCTTCAGATTTCTAGAGTGAGAAAGTGGCGAATCGAATAAGAGGAGAAGCTAGGGTTTCATCTTCAAGCAAGGAATTGGGAATTCCTCCCCCAAAGGAGGATCTCTTCAACACAAGGAACAAGGCTAGCATCTCTTTGATGGTTTCCCTTCTTCTCTTTTGTGTTTTCCCTTCTCCTAGCATGGAGTAGTCCCTTCTTTCACTTGGGTGTTTGTAAACCCTAGCTACAATTATGTGAATGCTTGTATGGATTGAATGATTTGTGTGGTTGTGTTTAATGTGAATGTGGAGGTATTAGTCATGAATGATTGTATTGTGTGTAGAGTAGTCAAAATCCCGATTTAAAACTTAAAATCCTACGCTTTTACGATTCTACTTACCTATTCCGAGTATGATTTCACTATAAAAACTATGAACCTTAAAATCCTACACTATTCACGATTTAAATCCTTAA